TGTGTATAAGAGACAGGCTCGGGGGCTCGGTGGGGGTCTGTGGTGCTCCACGGTTGGCAGCTGAGGGCGAGGCAGGTTCATCTGCTGAAGGCATCCGATGGGAAGAGACTGGCAGGTGGAAACCATGTGGGATCGGGGCCGGCAGGTACCGGGGAGGCTCAGGGTGCCAGAGACGACGCTGCTTGGCCGCACCACGCCGTGAGATCTAGGATGCCGTCCCCGCGCTGTCGCGGCTGACCTGGTGCCGAGAGGACTCGGTCCTTCCAGGAGAGCCCTTGCGTTGCCGGCGTCTGCAGCCCCTTCTGCTTTAGCTCGCTTGCTTTTTTGGGGAAGGCTCCCCACTACCCCGAAGACCTCCCCAGCACGCGGGGCAGCCCCTGCACACCCCAAGGCTCCCACCTGCGGCTCTGCCCGCAGCCCAGACCACGTGGAGCGGACAGACGGGCGCTGGAGCTGGCGCGTGGGAAGAAGATGGGGTGGCCCATGCGTCCCGCTGGCAGCGGGGCTTTTCCTGCGGCCGGTCTCCAGCCAGGAAGGACCCTCAGGCCGCCCCGTTGGAGCAATCACCCCCCCCCGACCCTGGGCTGGAGGGGGCTGCCCTCGGGCGTCCCCCCCCAAGGCTGCCTGTGCGATGGATCTCTGGGGAGTAGCACAAGGCCCGCGTTTCCCTGGGGTGGAGAGACGACCTTGCGCCGAGCTCTGGCCGTAGAGCAGCCGTGCCGGATCCCTTCTGTTACTCTTCTAGAGATCCCGCCGGGCCCTGACGCCGCAGCGGGACTCTTGCGCGTAGCAAGGTCCCCGTCCGGGTGCTTTCTTGCCATGCTTGCCTCCAAGCGGGTGCGGGTGCCGGAGGCCGACGCTGCTAGCCGGGGCTGATGTGCCTCGCAGAGGACGCGCACAAGCCGCTCTCTCTGACCACCTCCTGCTTTGGGTTTCCTTTCAGATCGATGACATCGCGGACGGCGCTGTGAAACCCCCACCGAACAAGTACCCCATCTTCTTCTTCGGCACCCACGAGACGTAAGCGCTGCCTCGCTCCCCTCTCTGGGCTTTTGCCCTGCTGCCTCTGCTCCGGGCTCACCTCTGCTTTGTTTCTCTCCAGCGCCTTCTTGGGCCCTAAAGATCTCTTCCCTTATGAAAAATATAAAGACAAATATGGGAAACCAAACAAGAGAAAAGGCTTCAACGAGGGATTGTGGGAAATCCAGAACAACCCTCATGCCAGTTACAGTGCCCCTCCGGTGAGTGGGGGCCTCGCGTGGCGGGGGGGCAGCGAGGACGTGGGCTGCCGGCGCCTCCATCTCTCCTTTCCTCCAAGTCGCTCTCCTCCTTTTTCTGCTTCTCATTGCTACGGTGCCTACGCGCTTCCAGCTCGCAGATCAGCTTTTTCGGGGTTGAAGTAGATTCCATTCCCTGCCCTCTCCCTTCCTGAGGGAGTCAGCTCTCCTCCTCCTCCTCTTCCTCCTCTGGAGGAAGATGCCTTTTCCCCATCTTTGAGGTGGAACCCGGGATGTGCTTTGTGCCGCTTGCCCAAAATCATGGAGGATTTCACTGTCAGAGCGAGAACTTGAGGCTTGCTCGTCCCCGGCTCCCGGACCTGCGTGTGGACTGTTGGGCAGTCCCCCTCTTCATCCATTTCTGAGATCCTGAGCCGAAAGCTGCTGGGCTGCTCCTTCAGCGGGCTTCAGAGCTGGCCGGGAGACGGCTCTTTGCTGTCACTTGCTTGCGTGGGCATTTCATAACCATAATTGTGTAATACAATTTATTGTATAGCGATCTTCAAAGAAGGCGTCCAAAGCATCTTCATAGGCAGTTGGTCTGAAGAGGCAGAGGAAGGTTTTTAAGGTGAGCTACAAGGTGGTCTGGAGGTAGGCAGACTCAGGGAATGAGCCCCCCCGGCTCTGCCGCTGCCAATGCAGGAGAGAGGATGTAGTTTGAGTAGCTGTGGGAGATGGTTGGACCCAAGACGGCAGATGTAGGATAAGGTGAGACCATGGAGATGTTTGCAAACCTGGAGAGCAACTTCAGCTTGTTGGGCGGGAGGTTGGTGATGGTGAGGGAAGCAGTACCCGCTTTGTCCAGGGACCCCACCGTGAACTCCCAGCAGGGTTAAGAAACCTGTTGGTGAGGGGCTTACGGTGATTGAGGGACCGAGGCGATGCCAGTGGCCCCGGCAAGGCTGAGGGTTCACCAACGCCAACTGCGTCTTGTGGCCAAAATGCCTGGAGGAGCAGAAGAAGAGACTGAAGTAGAGGTCTCTTTAGGTTTTGAGACCTAAATGGAGTGAGGTGCCAGGATCAGTCAAGGACAAGGAGAGGCTTTCCAGCAGGAAGGCTCCAGCATTGGAAGAATCCCAGCTCTAGGAAACCCCTTGGGTGCGATGTCCTCGTGTGAGGAACCTCATGATGGGCTGGTGAGAAGCCAGGAGACCTTCCCTACGTGGGAGTGAGGGAACAGAACACAGCAGATCCCAGCTGGGAAGAGCGGTGGCCGCCACACCGTACTCCTCACATGGACCTTTCCACTGGGGAAGGCGTGCGATGTGCTGTGGGGCGAAGCCATCTGAGAAGGAAGAAGCCCAACCCAAGTCGAGGGCTGGTGGCCAACCCAGCGGAGGAGAACGGCCGCTCCCTGATGCCGGAGGAGAGGCTGAACCAAGCCACCCAGCCCCGCTTGTCTGGCGCCGTTAGGGCTGGGTCTGCTCACCCAGGAGGGGCTCTCAGGTCTAGGCTGCTCCAGGGGCCTTTGGCAGAGGGTGAGGATCAGGGGGCGAGGGGAGCGAGGTGGCAGCAGCAGGTGGAAGCCGAGCTGGGGGATCCAGAGGGAAGGTGTTGCTGGTGGTCTCGGGGTGGTGTGTGAGGGGCCTTGGGAAGGGGGTGCAGGGGAATTAGAAGGGGATTGACTGAGCTTTGTTGGTGAAGGGCTGGTCACGTTGTCCGGAGCCACGCTGAAGGGTTCTGTGCCGGGAGGGGAGGCTGCCCCACGCTCCTCTGCACGCGCACCTCTCTGCTCAGCGCTGCCGTCCATTGCTCGTCACCCTTTTGTGCCCCTTCTCCTCTTCCCCCTGATGCGCCGCAGGCCCCTCGGGGCGATAACACAACTCTCATCCCTGCTGTCTTTAGCCTGCGAGCTCCTCGGACAGCGACGTTCCCGAGAACGACCCGATGGGGGGAAGTGATGCGGGTGATGATGAGGAAGAGGCTGTCATGGCTGCAGTTGCCACGGAGAAGATGGAAAGCGATGAGGACTCGGATCGAGGCAGCGATCACAGCGGGCTCAAGAGAAAATCACTGGCTATGAAAGTGAGTGTGGGCTGAGGTGGTTTCCCGCGGCGGGGACAGGGAGGGTGTCCTGGACAGGAGGATACTGGTACGGTCGTTGGGTCCACCACTGGGCTGCAGGTTTTGTCCAGCATGCAGCACGCCAAACCCACTGCGGCTGGAAATGGTGAAGAAACCAACTCCCTCTGGACTCTCCGGTGGGAAATGGGGTTCAGCACGTGTTTGGGGGTCTCGCAGCTGCCTCATGTTGTCCTTGAGATGGTGGGATGGCTGAGTCCTGGTGTGGTTTTCAGCCCAGGAGCTGCACAGTTCGTCCGAGTGCGTGTGGCTGCTCTTGCAGGACCAGTTGGGAAGAGTTGGGCAAAGCCCCTTCCCGGCAAGCACCGGCTTTCTGCTGCAGGTGGAGTGGGAGTGGGCTTCTCTCATATTGTCACTTCTCATATATCAGATGCCGGTGGCAAAACGGCCTCGGAAATCCTCCAGTGACCTGGATCAGGGCAGCCCCTCCCTGACAGAAGAGGAGAACTCGGAAACATCTTCTGAGTCAGAAAAAAACAGTGACCAGGTGAGAGGGTTTGGGATGCGCTTGCATGGAGGCTGGCAGGGCAGTGGGGAAAGGGCTGGAGGAAGAGCATTGCTGTCTGGGGGGATAAAGGCTTGAGGGAACTTGACTGGCTTCTGAAACCCTTGTGAGACTGTTCCCCATCTCTTCCTGTCTGTGTTTTCCTCCAGGACTTTACTCCTGAGAAGAAGCCAGTGGCCAGGGCTCCCCGGAGGATGCCGGCAGCGGGAAGGAAGAAGAAGGTAAAAGACCCCTAGTCTGCAGTGCTGCAGGCTGGAGAGGAGTGTGGGCTCTGTGCTTCATGGAGGGGGCAGGGGGGTGGCAGGGCTCTGCCAGGGGCTGCATGTGGGTTCAGTGCTAGGAGGAACCTCCTGAGGCCTCAGTGGCCCAGCCAGGCCCCATGCTGCTGTGGTATGGGGTATGCTGCTGAGCTGCTGCCACCCCCCTGTGCCTGCAGAAAGTGGAGTCCGGATCCGACTCAGACTCCAAAGTGGATTCGGATTCGGAAATGGGAAACGCGACTGTGGACATGACCAAGTCGGACTCCAACTCGGATTCAGACTCGGATGTGTCTGTGAAGAAGGCTCCCCGGGGCAGGAAGCCAGGTAACGCTGAGGAAGCTTCTTCCACAACTGCTGGGTCACCACTGGCTTCCTCTGGGCACTGGAGAGCGTGTGAGGTTGGGGGCTCCTGGGGTCTCCTGCTGTGGACACCTTCCAGCCCATATCCGAACAGCCCTCTGCCCTCCCTCCTTTGGGGCTGTTTTAACAGAGGGACAACCAGGGCCCCTGCCCAACATCCCCCTGTTGTCTTGCAGCTGAGAAACCCCCTCCCAAGCCCCGTGGCAGGAAACCGAAGCCCGAGCGTGTCCCGACCAGCTCCAGCAGCGACAGGTGAGGTCAGCTGGGACACTGTCACCCTCGGGGCGGGTCACCCACCTGCCCTCGGCCCCGGGGGTGGGTCCGAGCG